CCTCGAAAAGACGCAGAATTCTGTGTCAAAAGGGGTTAAAAATTGTGTTTTGGTTCATACTTATTTTGTTCCTTCTTAAGTATCAGGAAGGGTAATAAAACAGAAACTCAAGGAAACATTCCAGAAAATAGTACAAGATGACAATGGAATGATTGTGAAATAAAACTTAAGAAAACTCTAAGATCGACTCAGAAAGCCCAACACTTAAATAATAAGGTATAGAAAAGGAGTATACAAATCCCCAAAGCAGAGCAGGGTACTAACCCACCCAGGGGGAGAGTATTGGTTATGCGTCCACAGAATTGGGAGTGTGAGTGCAGACCCCACCACAGAGCACCAAACTTTGAAGGCCAGGTAACCACAGGGCGCAACGCATGAACAGGGTGGGCTACAGGGCCAGCCCACAATCAGAACCAACTGACCCCCACCCTAGAAGTATGTGCTACAGAGAACAACACTAAACCTACAAGTTGGGGACAGGGGCTGGCCTTGACACACCCACACAGAAGCAAACCAAGAGAGGGAGGGGCTAGACCCCGTATCAGCAATACCAAGCCCTGAGGACGACGACCCTGCATGGAGCTGCTAAGGTGCAGAGAGGACTGTAGGGCCGACAACAGCTCGAGACATGACCTCCCCTCACTGGAGCACACCGCAACAGAGGACAATACTGGGACACATAGCGGGGAGTGAGTCCAGTCTGAACCCCCCACAGCAGGGCAAACCAAGAAGGGAACACAACAGATCAGCAACGGGAACAAAGCTAAGCCACAAAACCCCTAAGGAGCCCCCAAAATAGACTTCAGGCCAGGAGGGGCAGTTCCCAGAACCCCCCAGGACCAGTGGGGAGATAGTCAGAAAGGTCAGCGAACACACCAGGAATTACCTATGCTTTTTCAGTTTTTCTTGCTAGTTATTATTATTATAATATGTTTTTTTCAAAGTATTCAATTTTTTGTTTTCTTTTTGTATTGTCTACAATATTGTTGGTTTGCCTACCTATATAAGATAGGCAAGCCTGAAGGAGAAAGCAACGGGGCTGAAAGTTCTGGAGGGCCTTGGAGGAGGAGGTGAGGAAGAAGAGCGGCGAGCACACAATAACATAGATGGGGTAAGAACTAAGGAACTGAAATCAATGAGGAGGAGGATGTCACGATCCTGGGGATATTGGAGCAACAGCAATCTAGCTGAGAGGAATTACTAAGTGGCAGAAGAAGGGCGAGCATGATGGCGGGGCAGGAAGAAGGTAAAAGGAAACAGAGGCAAGATCAAGGAAGCAAAGTTATGGGTAGAGGTATAAACATAGGTGTGCACTTATGTAATTTCATCAATTCATAAAAACAGAGGTATTAGCACAGGTACAAACATTTATAAGGCAATACACTGAGGAAGTGGATGGACTTTGGGCCTTTGCTCAAGTCCTCCCTCAGCGCAACAGCACTTTTTCTAACAACCTGGCATTCTGTGATGTTCACCCTCGAAAATGGGTGCACAAGCAAATGTGAAGAAAGCTGGTGGTACCCGGCTATCACAAGATAAAGCATCTGGGGTTTCAAAGCCTTGAATTTAAACAGGCAGCCATCTAGCAGAGAAACAACAAGCTCATATGGAAGAAGCAAACCAGCCTGTGTGATCATGAGGTGTTGATGGGATCAGGTAACAGGGCTCAGAAGATCACAAACAAACAAACAAACATACATATTGTTGAGAATGAGGAGGGTCGGAGCAGAGAACCCAAACCCAGCTGTAGACAATGGGACATTTCCTCATAGAAGGGTTGCAAGGAAAAGATGAGTCAACCAGGGTGAAGTTGAGGCTTCCTCATTCTCCACTGTCATGACCCCCACCCCTGCCTTCACTGAGTAGCAATACCAGGAGGTTAAGGGAAGGTGGGAGAGGAAGGAGGAAGAAATCACAGGGGAAGAGAGACTGTGGTCGGTGTAAGATGAAAATAATAATTTACAATTTATCAAGGGGTTACGAGGGAGGGATGGGGGGAGAGGGTAAAAAGAGGAGCTGACACGAAGGGCTCAAATAGAATGTAAATGTTTAGAAAATAATGATGGCAAAATATGTACAAATATGCATGATACAATTGATGTATGGATTGTTATAAGAGCTGTAAGAGTCATCAATAAAATGATCTTAAAAAAAAAATCCCCAAAGCATATCACCACAAAATTTCAAAACAGAGGAAAAAAAACCCCAAGAAATATCAGGAAAAACTACTGTTACTTCTTCACAGTAATGAGTTCAAACTTTTGAGAGAAAATTATTTCCAATCTGATTGTACATTCAGTCCACTGTCAATCAAGCCCGAGGATAAAATTAAATGGTCATACATGCAAGTTTTCAGAGTTGACCTCTTCTGGGTGCTTCCATCTCAGTCACCCACTACCGGGTATGTTCCACTAAAAGGTGAGAGAACATCAAAAAGGGGACAGAAGCATGGACCCCAACACAGGACAACCTAAGGCAGCGGTTCTCAACCTGTGGGTTGCGGGCGACCCCTTTGGAGGTCAAACGACCCTTTCACAGGGGTTGCCTACCACCAGCGGAAAACACATATTTCCGATGGTCTTAGGAGACACTGCTCCCCTACCCATCTCCAGGTGGGTCCACCCACATGCAGATGAGCCCACATATGAGTACTGGGCGTGAAGACTGTTACCCATGCTCCGAGACAAAATTTCATTGATTTGTCATTAGAAGTAACTATTTCACAATATATAATTACATATTGTTTTTGTGATTAATCACTATGCTTTAATTATGCTCAATTTGAAACAATGAAAATACATCCTGCATATCAGATATTTACACGATGATTCATAACAGTAGCAAAATTACAGTTATGAAGTAGCAATAAAAATAATTTCATGGTTGGGGTCACCACAACGGGGAACTGTATTAAAGGGTCACAGCATTAGGAAGGTTGAGAACCACTGCCCTAAGACAAGGAGCGAGATGAGTCAAAGTCTCAGCACCGCAGCCGAGGAAGCTGCTAGGGAACAGCTGGGCAGGTGGAGAGAGCAGCCAGCCTAGGCTGAGGCAGGTGGCAGACTGCTCTGAGACCAGAGTAAGAGTGCTCCAAAGGGGACTGCAGAACTAACTGGAGAGGTTTTGTGAGAATTAGCAGGAAGTACTTAACTATTGCAGCAAATAAGAAAACAAAGGCATTTATTCTATAAAAAGCAAAAATGTATGGTGAGGAGAGCCCTCACTTCAATAAACATTATTTTTAATGACAATATAACTATAAAATCATAAACTATGAACCAAAATGTGTGCTATGGGAAAGGAGGAAACGAAGATGCGGAGGTGGTGATACTAACACGCACACCAAGCAAGCTCCTAAACCCTCATCTACCATGACAGGACTCGAATGTGCTATACAGACAGACATTTGGCAAAGCAGTGGTAGCAGGTGATTCAGAAAGAGAAGCGGCTGCTAGAGGAGTTCTAAGCTGTCTCAGTGGAAAAGAACAGAGGACTACCGGTAATTATTTTTCTTTAATGTAGACTTCCAATACTATGTGATTTTGAAAGTGCGAATACGGTTTTTTTTAAAAGAAAAGTTAACATTTTAAAGCGGTGCCAAGCAGTTTTCTAAACTTCTTACATTTATTAAGCAATTTAATCTTCACAAGTCTATAAAGTAGGTGTTATTTCATGCTCATTTAAAATGAGAAAACTAAGGCCCAGATATATTCAATAACTTACTCAAGGTCAAACAGCTGGAAAGAGGCAGAGCCAAGATTTGAACCCAAACAATATAACTCCACAGCACACATTCGTAATACAGTGTCACGATTTACACTAAATTGCCCTATCAAAAAATGAAAATTAATTTTAAAATTTGCTAGTTAAAAACATGTGTGTCAAACAACTATACAGAAAACCCCCCTTAAAAATACAGTTTGTGATTTTTATTCAAGAGCCTACCTAACTACATTCTTGAATAAAGCTTTTACAGTCTGTGGAATATCAAGCGCAGACGTGTGTTTTGTGTTAACGCAAGCAGCATCTCTTTTGTGACTCAGGTTCCCACGACTACGGCATCTCCATCCTCTTGCTCTTCTGCCCTGATACTAAGAACTGTTTTAGGTTTGGATCTTTTTAGTTTTAATTCACTCTATTTGGGGGCAAAGGATGGTTATATATAACCACAGAAAAATTGGAAATGAACGCAAAAATGTCCACTTAAAATTTATACTTGTTTATGGGAAAAAAGTAAGCAATAAGAAATATGTATGATTTAAAAATGGCAGAAAAGTCAATACCCTTAACCAGTATTTCTTTCACATTAGGAAAAACTTAAGGAGCAAACTTTAAAAAGGCAAGACTCTGAACAGACAACTCACAGAAGAGCAAATTCAAAAGACTAATATTCAGTCTTATTCATGAAGAACCCACTAGTGGGAATGAGATGTTACACACTGTGCCTCGTGTCTAACTGGCATACAACTTTAAATAATCTTCGTGACACTGGCAGAGCTGCAGTGAGCCAAGCACAGGCACAGAAGCTGGCAGAGGCTTCCTGGAGGGGATGGCAACATGTGTGAGGGTGCTCCTCCACTAGCCTGTCTACGACATGGACACAAATGCAGAACCATTATCACTACCATGCATGAAAAATCAGGTAGATGGGGGCCACAGGGGGATCTTTACATAAATTACAGTGGCACTATATAAAAAAAGGGAAATTGGAGGCCATCAGTGATGTTACAACATGACAGAAAATTTTAAATAGTAAATAAATGCATGATAAAAAACTGCCTTTACAAAAGGTTCTCTCATTCAATTATGAACCAGAGCAACAAACCCACAGAGCTGAAGAAAAAAAATCTTCAGAATGATGGTAATATGTATAGGTTTTTTCTTTTTTAAATACAGCTTTTCTTTACTGCGCACCCCTCCCCCCGCAACAAACAGTAATATTATAGGTTAAAAAAAAATCAAAGCTTGTTTAAGCTTGTTTGTAGTGCTATTTCACATACCTTGGTGGCTGTTACTGACGTGGCCAAGTTTGCAGTTTTGGATGGAGAGCCATTGGAACTTGCTGGTGATGTCTGAGTCACCACAGATTTACTGTTTGCACTGTTTGCTCCATTAGCAGCACTGGCTGAGTGGGAGAAAGTAAGTCTGAAGCTACCAGAGGATGTCCTTTTGGGGAGGTTTTCTTTGTCTTCACTTTCCTTTGCTAAAGTGAAAGTAAAATTTTGCTAAGTGAAATCATGGAAAAAGGGCAATAATGTTCAAATTGATTAAGCAATGCTTTTGCTTTCTACCAGCTAAAAAGAGTAGTGATAAGTCTTCACGGCCTGAAACCTTAGACATCTCAGGACAAGGAAGGACTACAAGAATCACACAGCAAAATCAGGGCAGACTTCCAAAGACTTACCAGTTGTCTGGCCTTTCCTTACAACGTCTTCCTACAGCTTCCACCATGCAGGCCCTAACTCTAGCACCCTCCTGTAAGCTAACCTCCTCCGCAGATCAAAACAGCAGGGGCCTACAGACGATGCTCATGCCTACCCATCTGTTTACTCCCCAAATAGTTCGGGCTCCTTTAATATCATGTCTTAGGTCTTAGGTGTCCAATGCACTTTAAACAAACAAACAAACAAACAAACAAACAAACTCACTGCCAACAAGTCGATGCCAATGCCCTTTATAAACTGATTATTACAATTTTTAAATATTATTTTTTTTAAAAGTGCGGCATCCAGCACAGTATGCAGTACTTCAAGTCGGACCTTACAGCCTCCTGGCAATACTAAGGGCAGTGGCAGTGGCTGAGAGGAGTAAAGTAACGTCAGAGGCACCTTGTTCCTTAGACTATTATAAAAGACTTATTTGCCCCCTTAGGCTCCAAGCACTTACAACTTATGGCATTAGTGATTGAAAAAAATGAATGATGGTGGAAAAACAGTTCAGGAATAATGTAATAAATAAATGAAATATTATTATTGAGATCTGCCTTTAGAAAATTACACATTCAAAATCATAGACTTATGTGTACTCCAGGAAATACTGTTGTCTCTCAATATATATAAATTTAAAAACCTTTAATATGATATATACAGAGGAATATTCTAATAATGATAATCAATCCATAGACTTAAACAGATTAGTCCTTTTGAAAAATAATAGTACGGTCTTACTTTTACAGAACAAGTTAAGGCATATTTGAAAGCCTAGAGGAGAAAATTTACTTTTACTTCTCTCTTCGTAATTTATCTTTACGCAACTTTTATAACACTCTGAAAATTCAAAGTGCAAAGTTCCTTCTTTGACATCTGTTTCCTCAGATGTAAAAGGCAGCAGCACTCTGGAGGGTATGGACGAGCATGGTCTCTATGATGACTGGGGGTTTCAGTATAGAAAGGAAGCTTAGACTATTCATGGGAAATACACTAAGACGACAGTGGAAATTTCTAAATTGCAAATGAATAGCATCCCAAATTGCAAGCACCTAGAAACACATTTAAAACGTATCTTCTAAGGAGATATGAAAAAGTTCATAATTTTCTGAAGGCTGTAAGTCTAAGATTCATGGCTTTCATGTTTTACAAAAATTCAAACTTTTAATACCTTTTTTATTCTCCATAAATTTCTCATAGCTATCTGGAAAATCATCTTCTGGCTTAGATTTTTCCACTGGTGCCACAACTGGTTTTCCTTCCTCCTCTTCCTCTTCATTAAACCACATTTCTTCATCTTCTTCCAAGGCTTTGGCATCTCTGCGGAATCTGTTACTACGTAATATAGATGGTACACTGTAAGAGACATACCATAAATACTGAGTGTTGATTTAAATACAGTTCACGACCAGAGTAACCAGAGGCACTGGGGTCACTGTGACGGAGTCTCATTTAAGCGGCAATCTTCTCCATCAGGGTACAAAGGATGACTACCAAAGGCTCCAAAGACTGTGAGGCCATACCTTTTTAAAAAATGAGAGGGTGGTGGTGGTTTATGCATGAAATTGTAATGGCAAGGTGAGGGAGATGCTACATTTTATAGCTTCTGCCACTTCTGTGAGCAAGCATCATCATTGATGATGTTATGACTACAACTCCATGGACCAGTCAGCCTCCTAGGTGTGGAGATGCTGCAAAGGTGTTAGAAGGTTTCCAGGGCATTATAAATCTTTACAGGAGCAGACAACCTCATCTTTCTCTTGTGGCGTGACTGGTGGGTGTGGCTCTGGCCCCCGCAGGTAGTAATTCATCACACCCCACCCACCACCACCACCTCCTCCTGCTCTTACACAATCCTCTGTTACCTACTGATGAAAAACTGCCTGTAAGATCCAAATATAGCTCATTTGGGACAACATTTATAGGCAATAATTGCAACATGTTTAATACCTGTTGAGTTTCTGATTTTGTCTGTCTTTTTCTTGCTCATATTTAGTCTTCAATCCTTTGAATGTCTGAACATATTCAATCGATTCAAGTGCCTTATAAAAGTTTTCAACTATATGTGCAGTAAGAGACTTGATATCTTCCTGTGTAAGCACAAAATGTACATTTCAAATACAATAAATTGCTTGTTAGGAGGAAAAACGCAAAACAACGTTCTAATTCTAAAGCTAATAACCAAAAGGGCCTCAAGAGTACCTCTGAAAACCCTTAAGTTTCTTTATACACAGCATGACTCCACAGAAACAGAAAGAATGGAGAATCAATTCAATGGAGCACTTTTGGGGAAATTAAAGAATTTGAAAAGTAAACAGAGTTTATCTTTTGTCTTTATTTTTGTACTTGTAACTTTACAATCTAAAAAGCACTTTGAGATGCATATTCACTTGATTTTCACACCAATTCTGTGAAAACAGTTTCCTAACTCCCTTTTTTTGGGGAAAGGGAAGATTGAGGCTCCCAAACTCAGCTGGTCAGGAAGCAGGCTAGTGTGGTTCTGTTTCAGCAAACATTTGGTGTTATAGGATAAGCCTCCTCTGCAGAAGCACATTTCTCAGATCATCTGACACAAAGTCTGATAAACTATATGGTATTTTATCGATAAAACATAACTTCTCAACTCTTTAATATTCTATGTGAACCAGTCTAGTCACTGCAAATGTATGAGTACAAAGTAGGCTCATTTACAAAAAAATTAAAACTGTAATTAAAGATTTTATAGACACTGTTAGTAACAAATACACAGAACACATCTCTAAAAGTCAGACATACTCTGGTGAGATTTTAAAACTTCTTTTTTTTCTTTTCTTTCCCCCCCCTAACTCTAACCCTTAGATTTTAAAACTTAGTAAATTTCCTTAGGCATCTCAACAAAACAAAACAAAACATATGCAAAGATCATAAAAGTAGATTTAAGTTTACAAATTCAATGTTCACTTATCAGTCAAACAAAATTATTTTAAGAAAAACAAATAACCATGGCAATAGGAATGGGGCCGTGAAACCTACAATTCCTTCATCTCATCAATATCTGACGAACATTTTTAAATGAAAAAAAAGTTCATCTCTATTCATTTGAATGGTACACTATGAATCTAGTTCAGATACCTGTGAGATAGTTAACCATGTCCCCTCCTCTCAACTACGTATTTCAATCTTCTCTCCATCCTTTAAAAGAGCCGCATGTCGTCAGTATAAATCTCATCTGTAAGGACCCAGACCTACAGAACACGTTTCTCACTGACATCGTTCTTCATGTTCTCAATCTTCGGCCCTTTCTCTTGAGGTGTGATTTTGGTGTGTGTCATGTGAAGAGGGTAATTTGTTGTAATTGCTCTAAACCTGTTAATATATCTTATCTGTATTCACAAACAGCCTCTTCAGATCTTTGATGATTAATGTTTTGTTGCCTCAAGCTGAGTTATAACATATCTTTTAGCTCTATGCTACTAAATGGACCCTCTTGATTAAGTCACTTGATTTAATACTTGACTAAAATGTCCAACAGTCCTGAAGTGTTTGGTCAATAAAAGCGGAACTACAGATATAGAATTTGGACTAAAAAACTGTTTTTCACAATCTAATATATTAATAACCACCTAACCAGATGGTAAATAATTTTTTTCAAAAATTTAAGTTTACTGGTTATAGATTACAAAACATCAGAAATTATTTCAAAAGAAAAAGAGAAATGAAGAAATCATTTAATATAAACTTACCACTCTTATAAATTCAAACAATTCAACAACTGCTGAATTCAACAGATTGTACCGGGTTCCATTATCCAGGAGAGCATTTATAACTGGTTCAAAAAGATTTCCCTTGGTGATGTAACGGTTATAAAATTCATCTTTAAGGCCAATTATGCGTCTCATAAAGCGAAGAGCACCTAATGAAAAAAGGAGGGGAGATAAAACCTCACATTACTACTACATATTATTTATTATATAGTGTTTTACCATAAAACAATAGATAAGCTCTTCTAAAACAAAAAAAGAAAAACTTCAATACGAATAACTGGGCTTTGAGAAGAATAGTGTTTCCAGTAGTCTATTCAAAACCTGGGTCAACTTTGTAACCAGAACTATTAACAAATAAATGACATCTGGGCCACAAAGACCCAGCAGACCATTTATGAAAATGTGTAGAACCGCACACAGGAAATGCGGGCAGAGCTCAGGGCAGTGCTGAGAAAGCCCATGCAAGTGGTGCTCCCAGTCAGTGGGGCAGTCACTGATGTGAGCACAGGACCGGTGCAACCTGCCAACACTGCCTCATGAGGGAGGGGGGAGCGGGGAGGGCGGGGAAAAATGAGGACCTAATGTCGGGGGTTTAAGTGGAGAGAAAATGTTTTGAGAATGATG